TAGATTGCCGTGTTGGCACTTTGCGATAAATAAGTGGGTTTTGGGTCGCAGTTTGGGCACTCGGTCTCTAAAAGGTTCGCCATCACTGGCCTAGGGGTATGATCCTTGAAACAGAGTGCTGTCTGAAAGCATCTTTAGAAGAAATGTTTATAACACTGTTCTAAAGGAGATGTCTTCACACAGTATCACCATTTCTTACATATGAGTCACACACAGGGTGGCAACGTTGGGAGCCACCAGCTGACTGCCTCTGTTAGGCTCCTGTGCTGGAGCATCCCGAGAAGCCTCTGCAGCCAGTTTGGTGTAGTGGTTAAATGCGCGGACTCTAATCTGGGAGAACCGGGTTTGATTCCTCACTCCTCCACTCGCAGCTGTTGGATGACCTTGGGCAAGCCATAGTTCTGTCAGAGCTGTTCTCTCAAGGACAGTTCTGGAAAGAGCTCTCTCAGCCCCGCCTACCTCACAGGGTGTCTGTTGTGGAGAGGGGAAGAGAAAGGAGTTTGTAAGCTGCTCTGAGACTCCCAAGTGAAGGGCAGGGTATAAATCCAAGCTCTTCTTCTTCTCTTCCTCCTCAGCCCCTACCGAGGCCCTGTTCCCCAGTCGCACTGGCCCTTATCAAAAGATCTCTGATGTGGCTGGGAGGGTGGCTGTCACTCCCACCTATGGTAGCACTCTGTGGCCCATCCATACTTTCTTCCCACTAGATCAAGCAAGCTGTCCAGCTCCTCCTCCAAAATGAATAAACCTTTGCGGTGTTGTTTTGTAGGGGCTCTGAGGTCTAACCTCAAAAGAATCGGTTACTCAATAATTGAAAGTAATAAGTGATTATGGGCAAGCAGCCGGTCTTAAAGTTAATTTTAAGAAAACCAAATTGCTAACAAAAAATTGTACATTCAATATAGTTAAAGAAATTCAAGACAAAAAAGAAAGAGGAGGCTGTGGTCTTCCCAAATGGAATTTGTATTATCAAGCTGCCTGCCTAGGATGGATTAAAGGTTGGATTGAGTTGAAAGATCTTAGATGTTTGTCCCTAGAGGGTCATGATTTATGTATGGGCTGGCACGCATATATATGGTGTGGGAAAGAAGATCTACACTAACTTTAAAAATCACTAAGAGGAGCATTAATATATGGAACATGATAAAGGAAAAAATTTACACAAAAACACCTAAGTGGGTTTCTCCGTTGGAAGCCTTTGTTAAGCCAACACTTATTACAAAGTTCAATAAAGAATCCTATGAAGTACTATTGGATAAATCTAATAAACTAAAAACAGAAGATATACTTTTCAAAAAACATGATATTAAACTAACATGGTGGGAGAATATACAACTAAAGTCTAGTTACAATAAAGACTTGTCTATAGGTTTTTATGATAACAAAAATGAACTGGACAAAATTTGACTCTCATCCAACGATAAAACGATTCAGAAAATATATAAATTTTTGTTAGAAGATTATATGTTAGATGACGTTGTTAGACCTACTATGATATCGTGGATGAGAGATTTAGGGCACTGTATTGAGTTTGACGAATGGTCTAAAATATGGGAAATTACTAAATGTATGAGAGCTATTCCATTTAAAGAAAATGTGTTTAAAATATTTCATAGGTGGTATTGGCCTCCAGAAAGGATAGCGAAATGTTTTCATAATTGTTCTAACAATTGTTGGAAATGTAAAGTCAATGTTGGCACATTTTATCATATGTGGTGGCGATGCGTAAAAATGCAAAACTACTGGAAGAAAATCCAAAAAATGGTATGAGAAGTAGTAAATGTAGATCTGCCATTTAAACCTGAAATTTATTTGTTAAACATGATTCCAAAGGAATATGACTATAATGAAACATATGTGATTATTTTTATTTTGATGTCTGTGAGAATTCTTTGGGCCAAATACTGGAAATCGGATAAATCACTCCAGAGAAGAGATACTTTATAAAATAATGTATGTAGCAGAAATAGATAAACTGAATGTGTTATTAAATGGGAAGGATTAAAAGGTTTTTGAGAAAAGGTGGTCGAGACTGTATGAGTGGATAGAGAAAGAACGAGATAATAGACTCTAATGTATATTCATTTTTGTATATGTTTATTTTTTGTAATGGCTTAAAGACCTATAAATAAAACTTTTTAAAAAACAGTGGTGTTTGGCCATATTTTTTCCCTATAAGTATTTTCAGTAAAGCTGCTCCCTCTAGGGCAGGGGTCCCTAGTGTGCTCTCCTCCAGCGCCTTCCAACAGCTTTCCTGCCAGCAACCACCAAAATGTTTTTAAAGAAGTGGGTGGTGGGACCAGGTGTGGCTTTTGCCCAACAGAGACTTCTGGCCGGCCATCGGAGATCCGATGAGCTGTGCAGATTGAGAACAAAACAATTGCTTCGGCAACAGCTGCCAGCGCAGCACAAAAACCTTCACTGTTTTTCAGCAGTGCTTATTTTAAAAGGCATTCCACTAAACAGAGCTTCTGCTGGCAGCTCTGAAGAAGTACTATTAGAGCTATGCATGATTTTACTTCCTAACATTCTGTGGTTGGCTCTACCTCCTGCAACGGCCGTTTTGTGGCTGGGTCCGCCACCCTTTCAGGATTCCAAAGGTGCCCACAGGATCAAAAAGGTCGGGGACCCCGCTCTAGAGTGTCATTGTAATGTGCGTCATGCTCAAGAAAACCTTAGTTTGCAAACTGTCTGAACGTTTGACAGCCTACACTCCGTCTTCACTCTCTGGGTGCGTTCAGACGGGGACTTACCTTTAAAGTTTAAAGAGCACAGTAGCCTCCCGGAGGTCTCGGACGCCTCCGAAACGCTACAGTAAGGCCCCTTTTCTTTCTTTTTTATACAAATGGCAGGGTAAAGCTTCGCCCAAGCACATATCGCCGTCCTTAAAAAAAATGGCGGCTGAAAATCGGAAGCCTGAGGCTTCCGAACGGAAGTAGCTGTGCAACGGTGGAGAGCGATCAGACAGCGAGGTACAGCGTTTACAACCGTTGCACTCAGGATACCACCACTTGGGACCTAGTGGCAGAGTGCAAACGGTTTACACCGGTTAGGGACAGGAGGCAGATGTTCCCCGTCTGAACGCCGGTGAGTACACCGATTGCAACCGGCACCTATACCGATGTAAAGCCCCCGTCTGAACGCACCCTCTGTGTTGCCTGCACCATACAGTTTTATGTAAAGGCTTTAACATACAGGCCCAGATTAACTCAGAAACACCCATCCCCTCTTGGTACTTCAACTGTCACAGATTTACTTCATTTATACATCACTTTTTCCTCCAGTGGGGATCTAAAGTGGTTTACAGCATTCTCCCCTTTTCCATTTTCATCCTCACAACAGCTCCTTTCAGGTAGGTTCAGCTGCGAGAGAGTGACTGGTTCAAGTCACCTAGCAAGACCCCACGGCACGGGCGGGGATTTGAACCTGGGGGACCCAGATCCTAGTCTGACTCCACCTACACCACCACACTAGCTCTGATAGCTCAGAGACGTTAGCCCCGCCTTTGTTTTGTGGACAGAATGTTCTCCACTCTCCCTGTCTGTCCTGCCTCCACTCTTCCTGGGTTTGAACAACTAACCTGTGGCTTCCACTGCCAGTAGCACAGGTGTGTGCCACAGGTATTCAGAGTCAGTGTGTTCACTTTGGGCTCTGCGGCTCCCAAGATCATCCTGAAGTGGGCGGCCAATTCTGAGGAATCTAGGTTGATTTTCTGGAGAGTTATACTTGCCCAAGCAAATGGATGACACACATGTCCTTTTTATTATTATTATAGATCACGCCCAGCCCAGAGCACTATAACAAAACAGCTTAATAGGAAGCTTGACTGTACTCACAAGGAGACTCCTACACAGGCTATTAATGTCCCAGTGTCATCCGACAGCCTCATTTTCACCTGGTGTAGTAAAAGGAGCGAAGAAACAGACTTACAACTGTTGAAGCAGAGCTGCACCATACTGAAAAGCAGTTGTAAATGGAGCATACATCATGACGAGAGTGGGCGGTTCTCTTTAAGAAAGGGTGGAGAACAAGCTTCTGCTGATGTTACCCCTGGTCCAAACATAGGGTCACCAGATCCAGGTGTGGAAACTCCTGGAGATTTGGGGATGGAGCCTGGGGAGGACAGGGACCTCAGTAGGATACAATGTCCTAGAAGCCACCCTCCAAAGCAGCCATTTTCTCCAGTGGAACTGATCTCTGTAGTCTGGAGATGAGCTTTAATTCCAGGCGATCCCCAGATCCCACCTGGAGACTGGCATCCCTACCCAAACAGCCAGTTTAGGGTCTTCAAGGCTCCCCACCCCCTTGAAAATCTGCCTGCTAAGGAATCCATGCGTTTGTGCCTTCACATTTCCTGGATGTTGGAGAGAAAGCCAAGGGCACATTCTGGCTCATGCAGAGCAATGGCCTGGTTGGGCTTTGCAAGCACCCTGTGTAGACTAGACTGAGCCCACACAGCAGGGAATGGCCAATGTAGTGCAATGGGCAGAGTCTCAGACCCAGGTCTCCCTACTCCTAATCCAGTGACCTTGGGTCACTGTTCCTTAGCCAAAGCTTCCTTACGTGTTTGTCCTGAAGGGGGAAATGGGGTGTGTGGAGATAATGTATGCCATCCTGAGCCCCTTGGAGGAAAGGGTGGGATAAAAACATGCTAAATAAATATTATGTCCTGATATCGTGTGGGAATAGTAGTAACGACAAGACGAGCTATCGGGGAGAGATCACAACTGAAGCTGCAGACAGTATTAAACCAGATGGTCTAACTCTAGTCAAGGCGGCTCCGTATATTCTTATCACTGCCTTTCTTGAAAGCTGGTTTGCCACCTCTGACCTCCTCAAGGAACCTCTGAGGAAACCCAGCCCCCTCCCTCCCACCCACCCAAAACAGCTTGATACACCAAGTGTCACGAGGCTGTGAACTTTCAAAAGATCAAATCCCACTCACTGAAGAACAAGTTTAAATAATCCCAGAATTATCTCATCAACTTCCTTTATTCACAGGTTCCTCCAAATACTGCACAAGTCTCTCAACAAATCGTGTAAACATACAATTACATAGGAATCAAAAACACAAAGAAGCAATAGACAACCCTGGAGGGCAGGGGAAAGGAGGCAGGGAGAGAGAGAAGAGGAATAATCTCTATCCCCAAACGGGATTTGCTTTTTTATTTACTTGTAAACCCAAATGTTCGAAAGCATAAAATCATTAAAATATATACATGTTCTTTATTTCAGTTTGTAAAGGTTGAGGAACAAACTGTGGCCTTTTATTCTTGTGCCAATGGACAAAATAACTCGCTGTGCATCCTTGTACAGTCATTTAAGTATTACTTTTCAATTATATATATAAAAAAATCAGGAAATAGTATTCATCACAGGCTGTTCCCCAGCTAATTCTCACCAAAAAACTGAGTACAAGATTGAAATCAAGTTAAAACCAAAACACACTCATGTAGTGAAAGTATTCATATCACATGGGGGGAAAATAATCAAGCAATGAATATGCATTCCAAATGTAAAGATACTGATGAACTGGCTGACTCCAGGGGCCTTCTGAAAGTGCTTCCGGAATGACACAAATCCCTGAAGAGCATCTTAACATTTTTCATTCATTCGTTCGTTCATTCAATGCTTTAAAGTGCAGAATCTGATTAGAGGTGTCCATGAGAGCTTCCACTGTAATTTATTCCCTCTGTGGATGCACGTAGCCAACCTCTCTTCGCTTTGTAGGAATTCCTGCTCTGGTTCCTGTCAGCTGTCTTTTCTCACAAGGCTGAATTTTCAACACACTTTATCCATGGCCAACAGAATTCTGCAAAAGAAAGTTAAGAGCTGTGACAAACAGAACTCAGGAAGCTGCCTTATGCTGGATAATACCAGTGATCTATCAAGATCAGTATTGCCTCCTCTGACTGGCAAAACACAAAACCAAACAAGGACCCACGGTAAGTAGGAAAACCAACATACAACAAGTACCGTGTACAGATAATTATAACATATCATAAATAATTTTATATTTTTTGAAAAATATTTTTACAATAATTTCTACATATGTAATAAATCATCTTAAAATATCAAAAATCATCTCCAAGAATCTCAAAAGCTATTGTACAACCTTTAATAATAGTCCTCCTCTGTTAAATACAAGTTTCAAAAGGGAGGACTCCTTAAAGTCTCTTTATAACATGTGCTTGTAGCTCATCAAAAAATTTTTTGCAGCGTTCATTGAAGAGAATTTTGGATTAAAACTTTGGGTAAGAACTTTTCACTTCTTTGAGACTCTTCTAATATGAGATTACTAGCATTGTAACCTATTCTGTTCTTGCTATCTTGTATGCTAGTATGTGGCTTGTGCTGAAAATTATTGTTGAACTCCCTGAGGAAGATTCGGAAACAGAAGGATATCTGGACCTCTGTTGGAGGAAGACACGAGCACATGTTATAAAGAGACTTTAAGGAGTCCTCCCTTTTGAAACTCGTATTTAACAGAGGAGGACTATTATTAAAGGTTGTACAATAGCTTTTGAGATTCGTGGAGATGATTTTTGATATTTTTGATTAAGATGATTTATTATATATGTGGAGGAAGACACGAGCACATGTTATAAAGAGACTTTAAGGAGTCCTCCCTTTTGAGACTTGTATTTAACAGAGGAGGACTATTATTAAAGGTTGTACAATAGCTTTTGAGATTCTTGGAGATGATTATTGATATTTTAAGATGATTTATTATATATGAAGAAATTATTGTAAAATATTTTTTGAAAAATATAAAATTATTTATGATATGTTATAATCATCTGTGCACAGTACTTGTTGTATGTTGGTTTTCCTCTGACTGGCAGCAGCTCTCTTCTAGAGTCTCAGGCAGAGGTTTTTCACATCATCCATCACCGGAAACCTTTTAGCTAGAGATGCCAGGGCTTGAACCTGGGACCTTCTGCATGCAAAGCGGATGCTCTACCACTAAGCCACAGTTTCTACGATAGAAGAGCAAGATTCCAGTCCAATAGCACCTTAAAGACCAAGGGACCTTTGACTCTTGAAAGCTTATCCCCTGGAAGTCTTGTTGGGTTTTTACGTTGCTACTGGACTCAAAGCCAGCCAGTACCAACAGATGTTGCTGAGTTTCATTATCACCTTTAAACTGCTCCCCCAACCTCCACTGTGTGTAGGATAATTACCTGTCAATGGGATATCCCAGTTCACAGACGTTGACCAAAACATACAGCTGTCTCAGAGCATATTCATACTGAAAGGTAATAAGCAGGACAAAGGTGATCCTTTTTTTTTTTTTTAAAGGTTATCTCCCAAATTTACATCCCCCCTTTTCTACTCCTGGGAAAGTCAGTTGGGAGGCACAGGATACCCCCCAGGAGATCTCCCCATCCAGGATACCCCATCCCACTCCGGAGATCTCTCCCATCCTGGTATTGAATAGACCCAGGCCTGCTCAGCTTCAGCAAAGTGGGCTGCACCAGATGCCTTCCAACCATGACCTTCTCAACCCAAACTGCAGCATCAAAGAATCTCAGAGACGGTATTAATCTCATTTCTGTAGCATCAGAGAATCTCCAGGTGCTGCTAACCTCATTTCTTCCTGTTGGAAAGTTAGAGCAACTTCCTGCATTTCAAACAGGTGCACTCTCTGGACCCCAAATGTCATGCCAGGGATGAATCCAATTTAAGATCCCCCCCCCCTTCGACTATACAGCATATTTTATGTAAGCAAAACAAAAATGTATTCTACTTTGGGGGGGAGTCAAATGGAATATTTAACTCAAATGGCTTAAACAAAGGAACATGATAGCTGTGGTGAGAAAACCCTCTCCACCCGCAAAAGGAAGCAACCTTTGGCCCCCAAATCGGTTTGCAAGGATCAAAGTCAAGTGAATCCCGGAGCCTCACCAGAGGGAACAGGCATGCTCCAGGAAGCTCCACAGACAGGGATTCACTTCTCCTTCCTGAAGCCATTTCCCGCTTTTGATAGGGAGACACAGAGGGATGGGCTCCATGGCTGCTCCAACCAGACCACTTAGCCTCCAAAACTCCCTTAGGGGAGACAGCCAGAGGCTTCTGCTGCCCAAGAGCTCCAGTCCTGGGGACAGGCTAATGTTCCACTGGGGGGGGGGGGGGGGGGGACGGACGATGACATTCAACTGAGCTGGCAAACTTAAGGGGCACAAAAATGTGTGTCCCTTGCATCAGCTGAGAATGGCTCAGCCCTTTCCCTGTCAACAAAGCAAGCAGCAGGGAAGAACCTGGCCTCCAATTCTGCATACTTTGCCCAAGAACAGGAGCGGTGCTTCACTAAGGATAAAGGTTCCCTTGCTCGAAAGCCAGTCGAATCCGACTCTAGGGTTGCGGTGCTCATCTCCGTTTCAAAGCCGAAGAGCCAGCGCTGTCCGAAGACGTTTCCGTGGTCATGTGGCCGGCATGACTATACACCAAGGCGCACGGAACGCTGTTACCTTCCCACCAAAGTGGTCCCTATTTACCTACTTGCAATTTCTTGCTTCCGAACTGCTAGGTTGGCAGGAGCTGGAACTAGAGACGGGAGCTCACTCCGTCATGCGGCACACTCGGGTCTCGAACTGCTGAACTACTGACCTTCCACAGCCTGCAGTTCAGCGTCTTAACCACTTGAGCCACCGCAGCTCCTCACTAAGGATAGGGGAACGCTAAAAACCCAATGCCTGAAATGACCCCTGGTTTCAAGCGGACCTACCTGAGGATTGTGCCAGTTGAAGCAACGCTTTTTGAAGTGATTCGCAGCAGGCTGGTAGCAGTCATGATTGCTAAGGTCCATCCTCTTGGATAAAATTTTCTCTGTCTGCTCTGAGGAGTTGGTTATAAAGTATACAGTCTTGTACATGGAATCTTGGATTAGGCGTCTGGACTGTAAAAAAGAGGATAAGAAATGAGATCATGATTTCCTCGTGGGCTCTGAAAGATGGGTGGCAAGAAAGCCGGTCAAAATCCTACTTAAAAGGCAATCTGGTGTTCTTTCAGATCCTTTTGGGCAATCAGTTCTAAGGGACGGCTCGGTCTGTACAGATAGACGACAAACAATTTCTCATTGGTACATGGAGGGGGTGGGACTCCACGTCAGAAATGGTGACATTTTTGTGCCAGGGCTTTCATATGGTGCACAACTGCATTTCTGATTCTCAGCTAACAACTCAAGCCCGGGGGGGCGGGGGGAATGAAGATTTTATACCTTCAGGTAACTTTGGGTGGGGACTGATGGAGCAAAAACAGAGACGTCCACATGCACACCAGGATTTTTCTTGGAGCTACCCACAGGCTACCCTTGTAAAATTTCTAAGCTCAAAAAGAAGTTTAAGCAGCTTTGATCAAACCAGTTGTTCAAGGGAGAAAGCCACGCTTCTGAACTGCAGCCTAGCAGCACCTGTGAAAGACTTCCATGTTTAACACACCCATGAAAGAGAGAGACTTTGTGTGGGCAGTTTCTGCTAAAGATTCCAAAACCAGACGTGTAGGAGGGCCATCGGCCTCTAAATGCCACTTCCTGGACTCAGCAGCACCCGGTCCGCGTCTCCTGTTTGTACATACCTGATAACCTCCAAACATGCATGTGCCTGTCAAGCTGCTAACTTCTGTTAAAAATGCTAAATTCTAATGCTGCTTAACCTAGGCTTTGCAACCAGTGTGCAAGTCCACTAGACTTTGTAAGTCATTCCCATAAGAGAACCAGACATTTCTGAATGCAGAATTCGGAATTACGGAAGACTGAGCCTTATATGAGAATTAAGACATCCCTAGAAACAATCTCTCTGAGCACATTTTGAGCCGTTCACAGAACTGGCTCTTGCACATACCAAAGGATACCATAGGGAGGACGGTTACTCTGTGATTACTGTTCACCGTCCCAGGCGCTGACCTACGGTGGCTCCAGTTCTTTTGTGAAACCCTTAACCAATGGACAATGTAGTCAGCACTAAAAGCTGGGGGTAGGCACAAGGTCAAATCAGGTCTCTTATCCTCCCAGGTAAGATACTTTCAGAATAGAGCATGGCAATCATCTTATTGAGAGGGGGGCGGGTGGGGGGGAGAGAAAGGGAGAAAAGGCGAGAGACTGCAGAGCTGAAACATTCATTTCAAAATACAGTGAAGTTTTGAACTGAAATTTTGTGCCAAAATTTAAAAGTGGGCGTACCTCACTCGTGGGCAGCCTTCTGACTAGGCTGGTGTTTGTCCAGTGACAGATACCACAGCTCTTAACTGGCCAACTCTCAAAAGAGTGCCAGAGAGGCAACGCAGTTGTCAGACACAAGTCAGACACAATCTTTCATTAAATGTGGTGCGGCCTCCAGTGACTCCTTAGATGCCCCCCCCTCCCGAGTAAGACCGAACTATTTAAGAGGGCTTTTGGAAACTGGGCCTGCTGTGCTGTCTGTCTGAAGATATGTAGTTGCTGGTTTTAACATTTACGGTTCTCTCTCTCTCTCTCTCTCTCTCTCTCTCTCTCTCTGTATACAGAAAAGCAGCAGAGAAATACTTTAGATCAATAAATGCCACCGGATATTAAATACTGTCAAATAGCAAGTACTGCAGTCACACCAGCTAAACATTAACCAACACAATTCGCTGAAAGTAATGGTTTTATCTGTGTAGGTAAAGCCCTGTGTCCTGAACTGTCCGTTCCAACAGGGATAAACAGCAAAGCGATGCCAAGGAGCGCCCAAGGTATCGGTGCCGTTCACGCCACATGTATTGGCACAATTCACAAGGCTTCATTCTCACCGTGAGAAGTACGTTGATCTCTTCTATGATGGCCTTTCCTTTAGACAAGTCATTGGTGGCCCTCAACTTGTGCTTCAAGATCGCAAGAGGCACGTCGGGATTTGGCGTGAGGTCATAGTTGCTTACAGGGGGCAGGGAAATGGGGGCGCTGTCAGCTTTGCCTGTGCCCTGGAACTGCACCACTTTCAAGTGAGAGATGGTCTGCAAGGAAAAAGCGGGGGGGGGGGGGGAGAGAGACATAAAAAAATACTCCATGTAAGTGGAACAGAACTGGACCTATTCAGCACATAAGTTTTCTAACGCTTCACAATGCTTGCTTGAGACTTTTCAGTGCTCCGTCAAAGGTTCATGGTGGACTACAATCTTCAGTTTCATTCGATCACTGAAATCACACCATGAAGCACAGCACTGCCTCACACCGAGCAAGCCCATTGGCTTATACCGTGGCAAGCCTAGAGGCTTGGGATCATCTCCTCTGCCTGGTGGCAGCTCTCCAGGTTTAGGCTGGCAGACAAAACCCATTCCACAGTCAATCTTTCCTGGATTTAGCCCAGTCCTTCCGCATCCTTATTCAGACCTGGCTGGAACCCTATACTGGAGTAATATTACAAGCGTATATAGGGAGGACTCAAACTGCATGCCTTGAGATGGCGGGCGTCCGCAGGGAACAGCTTTGCCATCATGGGGCACGTCAGGCTGAACATCAGGCTTCTAATGTCCTGGCCCCACTGGTGGACCTCCTGATGGCACCTGGTATTTCTGGCCACTGTGTGATACAGAGTGTTGGACTGGATGGGCCTTTGGCCTGATCCAACATTGGCATCTCTTATGTTCTTAACATGTGGCTAGTTCAAGGAGACTGGGGGAAAAGACGCTCCCGGCTCTGCAAACAGAGGACGCTGCAGACAGGACAGGAAGCAGCCGTGGCCCAGACGGTGATCCAAACACAGAGAACACAACGTTCTACCGCTGCGGGTTAGCCATTTGAGCCCTCTAAACTGCCTGGATGGGAGGCTGCCTGGGAAGCACAGGGGATCCACTCTGAGCAGTGTTCCCTCTAAGCTGAGTTAGTGTGAGCCAGCTCACAGACTTTTAGCCTCCGGCTCACACATGTCTGTCTTAGCTCAGGAAGGATGGGCTCCGGAGCAAACTGAGTTATGCAGTAGCCAAATCTCTCACTCACAGCTTTAATGCCAGTAGCCCACAAAGTAGAATTTCTGCTCACAAGACTCCACAGCTTAGAGGACTGTGAGCTCTCTGAAAAACAAGCAGGGTCTAAAAGTCAATAGCAGTGACTGCTGCTTTCTCCCCAGCGAGACTTTAGGCTGAGAAGCTGTTGCGGTTCACAGAGTTTTGTGTGGTGCAATCCTAGGTTGAGTTACTCTAGTCTAAGGCCTTGGTAATCAGTAGGTTTGGACTGGCATAACTCTGCCTAGGACCGCACTCTAAAGCAGGCAAGTAATAGAGATAGAGGCAGAAGGTGTAGTGCCTTGAGAGCTAGATTTAGACTGGGGGAAATTAATTTTATTTAATTATGACAATTTTAGCCATCCAAGGAACTCAGGCTAGCATGCATTTTTTACTCTTCCTCCATTTATCCTCACAGTAACCCCATGAGAAAGATTAGGCTAAGAGAGAATGACTAGTCAACAGAATCAGCTCCATGGTGAGCTAGGATTTGAACCCAAAGCTCCCCAAGGCACAAGCTGACACCTCTAACCATTATGCCACACTAGCATTCTGGGTTGAAATCCTGGCTTAGCCAAGAATCTCATACTGGGGGACTTCAGCAGTCATTATTTCTCAGCCTAACCTACTTTACTAGGATGCTTTTTAAAAAAGAAGAAAGAGCAACAGTCCCCTCAAATACTCATTAACATACACACACACACACACACACACACACACACAAAAGGGTTTTCCTTTAATTTCTTTTCACTTTTCCAGTACCAAGGCTTAGGATGCTGATGGCAAAAAGTTGCATTTCTATAAACACAAATCATGCTTTAGAAGCGAAAACTTCAGCCACAGACAAAGACAGCTCTGTCCAAGTGCTGTGAAACTCTTGATGGCTTTTCAGGCCTGTTTTTATTGCACTGGAGGAATGGACAAGACAAATTTATTCTGGTTTCAGAAACCCACTTGGATACCAAAGCACTCACTTTGTTTCCATATTGCATCACGTGGCTGGTGTTGGTGCGGTGTTTTACCAACTGAAACTGCTTGTGGAGAGTTTCTCGTTTCAAATCCTCCTGCAAGCAAGAGAGAGAGAGAAAGAGAGAAGCCGGTCATCTGTCATCAGCTTACAAATAGTGAAGAAAACCCCCACTGACAGAGAACAAAATAGCCCCTCACGTCCAAGAACTATGCAATGAATCAGTAGTTCAGTACTGAAAGATCAGTTGAGAAGACAGCAATGAATAGTTATCCAGGGCATGTCTAAAGTACAGGACTAGCTCAAGGACGTCCTTATTTCAGGCATCTGAGGCCTACATCCAGCCTCCAATACTCTACAATACAACACCTCTTAGGAAAGGGATCGAACAATCAAATAGTCAGTTCTCACAATTCCCTAGTGCAGATCTATGGTGCAACAACATCCTGGAAAACTGCATACAGACCCCGTACTTCAAAAAGGATGTTCTAAAGATGTAAAAGGTTCAGAAGAAGGAAACTAAAATGATCAAGGGACTAGAACAGCTTTCTTGTGAGAAAACATTAAAAAGAATTTGGGAGCGGTTTCAGTTCAGAACAAAAGATGACCAAGGCAAGATTGGGGTTGGGGGGGGGGGGAAGGTTAGAGGATTATAAAAAATATGAAATTTCTAGAGCAAGTAGGGAGGGAGGACCCCCCCCCAGTAACAGAACTTATGGAGTTCGCAATGACGTCGATTGGTAGTAGACAGGGGTCATTTCGTAGAAAAAGAGCTAGGGGAACTCATTAGCATAACTCATTAGCATATGCCACACCCCCTGACATCAGGGGCCCGGCGGTGGACCTGCAAGGCCGGCGGGAGTGCGAGGAAGTCCCGCCAAGGCCCTCCCTGGCCCCAGGCAGGCAGGGGTGGGGAGAGGCGGGGAGGAAGCAACTTACCCTCCCTCTTCTCCTGCCTCCTCCTGGCTGAATGAGGGCCGGAAGCGGGGCGGCCGGAAGCAGGGGGCGGGGCTTCGTCATGTGCCCCGCCCCCGTACCTCACCCGGGGGAACTGCATTCCCCCGCGTCCCCCCCCTGAAATGACCTCTGGTAGTAGATTCAGAACAGATCAGAGAAAATACTCAATCCCGTAACACATAATTAACTTACAGGGATAGGACCACTTGAGTAGGTCCTATCACTTTATTGGCCACTTTATTGCAGCTCTTGGTTGATGACACACACATAAAGAGACATTGGAAATTTTACACCAGATTGTTATAAATCATTAAAGATTTTGTTGTGTGAGTGCAGTTACCACGAGATGGGTTAGGGTTAAAGCATGGCCTGCTTTATAAACTTTCAGCAACCACACAACATATGAGAAAGCAACGCCTGGTCTGGATTTACATATTAACTTCTGAATGTGTGTCTTTTTGTAACAGTACACATTACTGACCACTGAGGAAGGCCCTAGAGGCCGAAACACGTATGGTCTTTTTGATCACTGGATACATTCATCAACTGTGTATGTGAAACGACTACAGCTTATGTAAAGCTCATGTTGATGTTCTTCAGACCTTATGCTTTTAATCTTCACCACTGTGTACACCATATAATAAAATGTTACCAAAATATATACTTATTTGAGGGAGCTTGACCCTTGTAGCATTATTGGTATATTTTGGATTGAGTTTGTTTCCCCCTTTTCCTTTGTTTGGTATACTTCCAAATACAAGTTACTGGGGGGGGGGGGAGAACCAACCCGGGGAGGCTGACCCAGCAGGGCTCTTCTCACACTCTTACCTTCCTGTAAACCAGCAGCGTCTAGGAACTGGTGCAGCTGAAGCTTCCCATCGAACCCATGAAGCTGCCTTATACCAGCCCTGCACGGACAGCCCATCCGCACACCGACTGACTGCGCATGGAGGGAGAGGGTGCAAAAGTGTGCTGGCCCCACCCTCACTGGCTCGTGTTCATGGTGTTTACAGATGGAGGATGTGTCCACATGTCCCCGTGATCAGCAGTGTTCAGAAAGCAGGGCTACTGATCACAGGGAAAGTGCAAACATGCAGGCGCTTCCTCCAAGCACAGATAACATGCCCACAAGCTGGCGATCACGTGGAGTCAAGGACTAGCATGCTCATGCCCACTCTCCTTCCCTGCGCACTCAATGCATGGAGGGATCATTTGTTCGGGGTTACTGAATCAGAACATTGGTCCATCAAGGTCAGTGCTGTCTACTCTGACTGGGCAGTGGTTCCCGGGTTGAGACCTTCCACGCCATCTCTTAGCTGAGCCTTTTAACTAGAGATGCCGGGGGGGGGGGGGCTGAACCCAGTAGTACCTTCTGAATGCAAAGTGGATGCTTTACCAACATTCCCCCCCGTGCCTATTTTATCCTCTGTGCTGCAAAGAGGAGTCAGAATGAATAACTTGAAGGTCATGCTTCACAACTAAAGCCTGAGTTTCAAGGCCTGTCCTTGCTGCGTATAGCATTCCTTTCCCCCATTATCCTTCATGGGAAAGAAAGAAGTTTTGTAGGGCTTTACCCCAGATCCAGCAGAGCTGTTAAGATGATGAAAAGACATCGAACAGAGGTTTGTTTATTATGGCAACTCCTGCAGTTTCACAACAAGGCATGATGCACGACTCTAGTGTGACACACAATACAGAATGCAGGACTTAGAGAGAAATCTGGCTCCCCGTAATGTCCATCCTGCCAGTTAAAATCCTCCTCCAAAGCCCTGCCCTGCACAGGGGAGGCAGGTGGCAAACAAGGACGGGGCTTTTGCAGTAGTGGCCCCTTTTGCATCAGCAATTCCTCCCCCTGCAGGCTCTCCTGGCCACCCACATTATTGCCCTTCAGGTGCCAGGACAAAACATTCCCTTCAGCCAAGATTAACTGAATTGTTCCGTCTTTTCATGTGGGTTTTAAGTTTACATCATCTTATACCTTATTTAACACTGATGATTTTTTTTTTACAGTTGTTGTTCTTATTATACATTTTTACACTGTCAGCTGTCTGAACAGGGCTCTGGAGGCGGCACACACATTTGCTACCTAAATCAATAATCTCAGCTTGGCAGTGGGGCACTGGCTATCCTGTAGGGGTTGTTTTGCGGACAGAGATAATCACGTGTCTCCCGCTGGGCATCTAGTCTAAAAGGCTGAAGGCCGTGACAATTAACAAATGCTTGCTCTGAAAACAGGAAAGAATATGGAAGAGTGAGAAGGAAGGAAAAGATGGGGAAGGGCTCTGAGGATGAAAAATCACAGCTAGTAGAGTCCAAAGAATTACACAAGTGATTCTGAGGAAACAAAACTGCATCCCTCAGGCAGAGCTGCAGATGAATCACGTCCTGTCAATACCATGGAACAGAAGTGCTGACGAACCTTTACAAGCCCAAGAACTGAGCTGTTCTTTAGGTTGGATTCTGACCTTTTCTTTCTCAAGAGTTCCTCTCTTTGCCTGGCAGCCTCCTGCATCACAAATATGTACCAAAGTCCCCGTACAACACTGACATTGATCTGAAAATTCCTAAAACTGCACTGATAACATGTATGTATATGGGGGGGGGGAGTAGCAAATGGTCACGGCCTCATTGAACCCAAGGGGGAGGGGCTCCGGTTGCACAGATTACATCAGCCGGCACTGAGCTGGTGTGGTGTCATGGTTACGGGGTGCCAGACTACAACGGGAAGACTTGGGTTCAAGACCCCTTTGGAGAGCCAACACTCAAAAGAAGTAACCATTTCTCAACTCCCAGAGTCCAAGGCGCTCTCGGCAATGAACAAAGTTGCCCATATCGCTACTAAAGCAAACAGAATTCTTTAAAGAAAGAAAGTTTTGTTAAAACAAAGCAATATCCTTAGATCTTAGTGACTCACAACGTCAGAATCCTCCATCCAATTGACACTGTACCAGTCCCCAAGGTAGGTTTGCCTCTTTTCATCATAGTAGCATGCATAAGACGACTCCTTAGGATTGGCAGCTGTAGTGGCATAAACTGCAAAACCAAAAACAGAAAAGCACAGTGGAATCATGCCCTGTGGCTAGTCTGCTGTAGTGAGTTATGTTGCCAACAAGCAATTCAGTTGTGGGATTCACTGCCCGTAGACACACACAGTGAGGGCCCCTAAGCACAGATGGAATTAAAAGGTGATTCGACAGATTCATGGAGAACAGGTCTCACAATGGCTATGAGCCAAGATCACTAAACGGGTCTTCCCTGTCCAGAAGCAATAAACGTCTAAATACCGCTGCCAAAAGGCAACATCAGGGGAAGGCCTTTGCTTCCACACCTTTTGTTGGCCTTCTAAGGCAACTGGTTGGGCACTGGATGAAACAGGATGCTGGACTAGATGGACCATCTGACAGCAATGCTGACTCCGTGAACACAGGTAGATTATGAGAGGGAGGGTTGCATCAGTGCTTAGTTCTCGTGGTCCTTTCTTACATGCCCGGGGGATTGCAGATCGCCAGTTTGGGGTCAGGAAGCAATCTGCTCCAGGCCAGTTCAGCCAGGGATCCTGGAGGTTTTCTGCCATCTTCTGGGCATGGAGCAGGGGTCACTGGGGGTGTGGGGGGGAGGTATTTGTGAACTTCCTGCATAGATGATGGAGGTCGCTTCCAACTCTATGATTCTATGATCACTGGTCTGATCCAGTGGGCCCTTCTTTATGTTCTTATGCATAACAGCTGGATCTACAACCCAATTCAACTGAAGTACTTCAGTTTAAAGTCAACACATTCACCTGGCATGTTTGACAATTCTATATGCATTTGAAAGGCCCCGTCCACAAAAAGAAGTAATGCGTTAGAGGACTCCCATGTATAATGCTGGAACTCCCGTGGCCATCGTGGATTGAAATGTGTTTCTCCAATCCAGAAAGGGACACATGGACCTCGGTTTGCCTTGTCAAACTTTTAATTAGGGCTCCAAATTCAAATATTTACTCTCTCCGTCACTGTGTTGCTAAATAAGCCCTTCTCAGTTGGTAAAGTGCACCCAACTGCACCCAAGGTTCAGTCGGAAAAGCCCTTAGGTCCTAAGAATGGAGACCATCATTATTTTCACAAAATATCAACAGCGGGGTTCCAAATGGGACCTGGAGTACTGGAATTCTCTGTGAGGTCTGCCACTGCCAGAGGTCTACAATCCAAGAAAAACAATTGCAACCAAAGTTACTCATGCTATTCTTATTTCTATTGAATGAACAATTATAATCAGTAAATACAATTATAATCAGTAATATAATGCAATTAAAGGTGTAATCTTAACACAAAGTAAAGTCCTTGATATTATCACAGTCAATCAGTTTCAAAAGCTGTTTCAACAGTCTGTACTTGGATTAATGATTTATTGAACGTGGGGCAGAAAAATTAAGGACTGGATCCTAATGGAGAAACGTTAATAGAGAACTTGATGGTACTTCGGTATGAGCCACAGCTCAAGTTGAAACAGCTTTTGAAAATGATTGACTGTGATAATATCAAGGACTTTACTTTGTGTTAAGATCACACCTTTAATTCAACAGAAATAAGGATTTCATTGGTAATTTTGGTTGTTATTGTTTTTCTTGGACTGTATATCATCTTTTCGCAACTTTCTCTCCTGTTTGACTGTCAGAGGTCTAGCAAGTGCAGAAGAGCCTCTGAGTACGTGACAAAATAAAATGTGTGGGGTTTTGTGTGTGCATTGTGAGCATTTTTGTGTGCACACTGTGAGGTAGCTGAGCCCCGTTCCGAGGACTCATTCAGTTTTCAGAACCACTGGAAACGTTCTGCCTGGTACAAAGGGGGAAGCATCAGGCTGGTAGCAGGCATGCTATGAAACCTTTGCTTTCACCAGACATACAGCAACCCTCAAGCTCTTGGCTTCCATTTCCCTTCCTGAATGTGGGTATTTAAGCCTCAGCTCACGGTCTGCGGCACAGAGTGAGCTTGTCCTGTGGATCCAGGATCAGCCTGGGCTGCAGCCTGTACTATCTTCATTGCAGTCTTCATTGTACTTCTTATTGCAGGGTGTTTTTTTCCCCTTTCCTATTTATTTATTTAACTTGCATTTGTATAAGCTGCTTGGGGGGGGGGGGGGGGTAAGGTAAAATCCCTAACCAAATAAATTCTGACCTCGGATTTCTGATTTCTCCCAGCATTTGACTATCTTGAGCACAACCAGGGAAGGCCTAACAGAGACTGTTCCCAAATGCTGGCCAATTACTTACCATTGATATCATCGGGTAGAGCATCCATCATTGATCCAGATTCACAAGCTTCAATGTAAAACACCATCTGCAATTTACAATCAGGAAGCACATTTTTACCACGGGGAGTCCCAGGTTTTTCTGAGAAAGTTAATAGTTTACATTGAGATAATTGGGGGGGGGGGGGAGAGAAAGAAGTAGGACTAATCCCTTTAGGAATAGAAGCCAAATAGGAAGGAAAACACCACTTGTGCAGACAACTGTCTTTAGGCACAAGACTTGCAAAAACTTCTCCCCCACTTTTCTCTCCTCCAGCCCCACCACGCCCAACAAGGGGAGCATTATCATCTTGTGTCTGCAGGCAACAGTTCCCGCTAGTCAAGCGCCACAGCTCCCACAGCTTGGGGCAGCTACATGTTCCAGCTACATTTTTTTTTCTTTGTGTGACTATAGTATCGAAAACCACCTTCCAGACTAGCTTCTCCTTTTTGTCATGCAAATTCACTTTGAAAACCACAACATCTGCCTGCCGAAACCACCGTTCTCTGTGACACAACTTCAATAACTGGATTTCTCTGGGAAATGCTTCATTTGTACAATTTTAAATCTAAACAACTGACTGCTGGAGTTCCTTGTGGGTTTACTCAAGATGTCTGATCTAGTTCAACAGGACTTGTTATGGGACAAGCATTTACGAGGGAGTAAGTGCCACTGAATTTAGCAAGTCTTCCTTTGGAGCAAATGTGCACAGGATCAGGTCGTACACGGATGCTTCCAAACTTACAGACTAGATATTCTACTGACACCTTTCAGGTTTCCCAGGGGAGTATTCTGGGCGTGGCCAAATAAAGTGTCTAATGACTACGGATGATCCTGTGGTTTGCTGCTGTAATACAGGATCCTTCCTATGATTTACTTAAAGTAACCATCAGCCAGGATTCCACAGCTGCAACACCCTCTTCCTTCCCTTAAGCACCGGGGCAGGTGTGGTTGAAGGCACTTCCTACATAAACAGTAGTTAATTCCTCTTTGAAGTCTGCAAAAAATAGCCACTATTTTACCTTCTGGTACTTCTTGTGACTGAACATGTATTGAATGGTCTTATTCAAGTCCTTTGCGTGGAGCTGCAAAACAAAATCAACTCCATTCATAACCTATTTGATTCCAGTACCGCAAGGAGAAACCCACACTAAGTACTGACAAGAGCACAAGGCAAACCCTGAAAGCAATTCCCATGTATTATAGGCAAGTACTACTATCATCGGGGCAGCGGTGGCTCAGAGGTCAAGATGCTGAGCTGCAGACCAGAAGGTCGGTAGCTCGGCAGTTCAAGACCCGAGTGTGCCACATGACGGAGTGAGCTCCCATCTCTGGCCCCAGCTCCTGCTAACCTAGCAGTCTGAAAACAAGAAATTGCAAGTAGATAAACAGGTACCACTTTGATGGGAAGATAACAGCATTCCGTGCGCCTCGGTGTTTAGTCATGCGGGGCACATGACCACAGAAAAGAAATAGAGTTGAGCACCACTCCCTAGAGTCGGATTTGACTGGCTTTCGAGCAAAGGAAACCTTACTACTATCATCATCGGACTAAAATGTAAGAATCCTGGATTCAGGAATTTGGAGGGGGGATATCCCTCAGTCTGCTCTAGGTAGCCTGTTAGACATACTTGGACTGCACACACAAGTTGTTTACTGTCTGCATACATAGGTGGGTTATGGGCCCATACCACGTATGCACATTTCTCAAAACCAGTGAAAGCCTACACACATACAAATGGTATGTGTATGTTCTACCTGATCAGGAGTCCAGCAAAAAGCTGAAACTTCAGTGGTGCAAACAGAGCTATGCGCGCACAATTCCTACGCATGCAGGCTCTTTCATGGGTTATGAGAATAATTCTCGAGCAGTAGACAATACTGGACTGGAGGGACTATGATTGTAATTACTATAGGAAGTGTTCCCAAAGGATAGCAAATCATGTTATAATAATACCGGTTTTAGGCTCATAAACAAATTAAGCATTAAGGTCTTATAGAAACTGGAGAGGGGGGGGGGGGGGATGCTTACGTCATCAGATGGGAAAGCCAGAAGTCCAGGAGCTCCATGGTCGGTGAAAAAGACAAATATATGATCCTTAGGACCACTGCAAAGAGACAAAAAGTTAAGTTTGCTGAGTCTCCTGTCATCTCAACTCTAGTTTTGTGTCGGCTCTAATGCTAACAAGAAGTCTCCTTTGCATTCTCTCCATCTGAACATCATTCCCATTTACCTTTTTAGCACTTTTCCTGATCCTGCTTTCTTCACTGCTGCAGCATCACCTCTCAGAACAGCAAGGAAATTTTCTGGTGTAACATCCTACAAGTTGGGAGAGAATTGAGATCGAAACATGGGAGAAACATTACCCTTCTCTCGGCTGAAGAGGTCTGGGCACTGGCTAGTCAAAGAACCATAGTTTGCAACATCCGTCTGGGGGAACCTCAGAAGCTTAATAAGGGCTGCTCAATGAGAGAACAGGTCATGGTAGAAACATTCCCTGGGAGGCAGCCAAATCACCACGGCAGACAACCCCGGTAATGTGCAGACACAGAAGAATAGTGGGCATTTCTAGTCATGCTGAGACAGTGTTCCAAAGAGGTCCTGCCAGAAAGTCCCTTGAACTGAAACACAAGCATACTTCCAAAGCCTCTGTAATCTGCCACGTTTCTGCAGAAATAGCAATGGGAATCCTTGGCAGAGGAGTCAACAGGCTGGATCAAAGGACTCAATCAGAGGTGGTCTTAGCAGAAGGGAGCCACTGGATCTGACTGAATGTGGAAAGGATTCCATACCAAAATCCACCCCTTTAGTACCACTCAGCCAGAGACATATTAAAAGCACACTGCTGGTGTGGCACAGTGGTAAGGAGCATAAGCTATGAGCTGGATGTCTCTGGTTCAAGCAGCCAAGGGCTGAATTCACGGGACATCCTTAGGGAAGCCGTAATTGTTCAGCCATAGCTTCCCATCAATACTAAGGGTTAATTCTGGCCTGCCATGCAGCTTGTCTGCAAGGACAGAATGGGATTACCAGGATCTGATAACATTCAAGGGGTATTGAGATTTTTTAACTGATAATAGCCGAAGGCTGCTGTGATCATAATCTAAGAGATAAAGGTGTCCTTCTACCCGCAGGGTGGGATATATTCCAACTGATCTAGGCCGCTGTGTTTATTGTTTTTGCAAAATGCCATTTTAATATTTCTTGGAGAGCATAGGACATAAGTATTTGAAATAAATAAACTGAAGAAGAGTAGGGACTCCTTTTCAGTTGAGGAGAAGATTTTAGTAAGAGGTTTCAAAAGCATACTCCTAGACAGATGTGTGACTAAATGATACTAATAGCTCCACATGGTACCTAATAAAACATGGATATTATTATATGCAGTATAAATCTAGATTCTGGGAAGGGCTGAATCTCTTGTTCACTGCATAGCTTTTTGCTACAATTATGTGGTGTGGCAGTAATCCAAAATTGTTGAGCTCGATGAATTATGTTTACCTTTAATTCGGAGGCCTTTGTTTTTCAGTTCCAGGAAGTCGCTTTGAGAAAGTGAACAAGCATGTAGACAATGGTGACATTATATACCTGGACTTTCAAAAGGCTTTTGACAAGGTGCCTCACCCATGATCCCTAAGTCAATTTAGCAGCCATAAGGTAAGAGGATGGGTTTTCTTATGGATTAATGTGGTTAAATGAAAGGAAGCAAAGGGTAGGAATCAATGGACAATTCTCACAATGGAAGGAAGTAAGCAGTGGGGTCCCACAAGAATTGGTATTAGGGCCGGTACTATTTAATTTATTCATCAGTGATTTGGAACGAGATCGTATAGTGTCGTATAGTGGCCATGTTTACAAATGACACAGAATTATTCAAGATGGCGAAAACCCAAGGCTGACTGTGAAGAGTGTCAAGAGGACCTCCACAAACTGGGAGGGTGGGAGACACTGTGGCAAATGAAGTTCAGTGTTGGTAACTGTAGGGGGATGCACACGGGCACAAAAAAACCCCCAGCTTCAAGTATTGGCTAATGGGGTCTGAACCTGCTGAGTGGTGAAAGTGGTGAAAAAGGCAAACTCTATGTCAGGGATTACAGGAAAGGGCTTGAGAATAAAATGGCCGATATTGTAGTGCCCAGGGGTTTTTTTTGTAGAAAAAGCCCAGCAGGAACTCATTAGAATAATAGGCCACACCCAACAGCAGACACTCATTAGCATATTAAGTCATGTTAGGAGTCATATGTGCATCCGCTGAACTGATTTTAAGCTGTTTTAAATTGTTTTAACTCTGTACTTTGTATCATATAATGTGTATGTCGAACGCACTTGGTGCCTTATGTAAGCCTCCCTGAGCCCGCTTGCGGGGAGGGCGGGGAACAAATGTCATAAAATAAATGAATAAATATTAGGCCACACCCCCATGTTACCAGAAGTGTGGTCATCCAGCCACACCCACCTTTTGCTGCTTATTCTGTTTACTTTGTTGTCAAAACCCAGGGCTTTTTTTTGTAGCAGGAACTCCTTTGCATGTTAGGCCACACACCCCTAATGTAGCCAATCCTAATGCGTTCCTGCTGGACGTGGCCAACTCAGGAGCCAGCCAGAACTCCGTTCCTGTGCGTTCCTGCCCAAAAATAGCCCTGGTAGTGTCCCTGTACAGATCTATGGTACGGCCTCATTTGGAATACTGCATACAGTTCTGGCCACTGTATCTCCAAAAGGACATTGCAGAGCCGGAAAAAGGACAGGGGAGGGCAACCAAGAGGATTAGGGAGTCGGAGCACCTTCCCTGTGAGGAAAGGCTGAAGAGGTCTGGGACTTTTCAGTTAAGACGAGGGATGACTAAGCGGAGAGACGTGACAGAGGTTTATAAAATTATGCACGGGGTGGAGACAGCTGACTAAGGGAAATTTTTCTCCCGCTCTCAAAATACTAGAACTTGAGGGCATCCAGTGATGGGCAGTATATTCAGGACGGACAAAAGGAAATACTACTTCACACAGAGAGTGATTAAAATGTGAAATTTGCTGCCGGAGGATGTAGTGGTGGCGACAGAAATAAACCGCTTTAAAAGGGGATTACGGTACATAGATTCATGGAGAATAAGTCTATCAATGGCTACTAGCCCTGGTGACTGAGGGGAACCTCCACATTCAGAGACACTAAGCCTCTGAATCTCAGAGCCAGGAGGCAACCACAGGGGAATGCCTCAGCCTCTAAGCCCTGTTGTTGGCTATCCAGAGGAACTGGCTGGCCACTGTGTGAGAAAGGATGCTGGACTAAATGGACCATTGGACTGATCCAGCAGAGCTCTTCTTATGTTTTTATATTCATTTAAGAAAGTAAACAGACCTAGGATTCTGGAATGGCAGTCTTTTGTTGGATTCGAGGGAGCAGTGCATTTATAAAGCACTCTTGGTTTAATATATTTTAAAAGATTTTCAAAAGATTTATAGTGTGCAGATTGCTTTTAGTATTATAAACTGGGTGTACACATGCAGAAGGAAGAGGTGACAGAAGGGAAGGGACAACAGAGGCTTAATGTGCAAGATCAAGTCTTTACTTCCTGATCGTTACATGTTCAGAGTAGGAAGATTCACTGTGCAAGACCCAAAAACTCAGGAAGGAATCTATGGAGAGTCACGGGATCTACTGTCAAGCTGGTGATCAGTATGAAGTTTTGAGTATTGTACTGTTTTATGCTGCACTACATTTTAACAGCAGCCATGAAATTAAAGGACGCCTGCTCCTTGGGAGGAAAGCGATGGTGAACCTAAACAGCATGATAAAAAGTAGAGACATCACCCTGCCAACAAAAGTCCGCATGGTCAAAGCAATGGTATTCCCAGTAGTCATGTATGGCTGCGAGAGTTGGACTATAAGGAAGGCCGAGCGCCGAAGAATAGATTCTTTTGAACTATGGTGCTGGAGAAGACTCTTGAGAGTCCCTTGGACTGCAAGAAGATCAAATCAGTCAATCCAAAAAGAAATCAACCCTGACTGTTCCCTGGAAGGCCAGATAATGAAACTGAAGCTCAAATACTTTGGCCACCAAATGAGAAGGGAGCACTCACTGGAGAAGACCCTGATGCTGGGAAGGATTGAAGGTCAAAGAAGACGGGGACGGCAAAGGATGAGATGGTTAGACAGTGTCATAGATACAATGAACATGAAATTGAGCCAACGTCAGAGGATGGCGGAAGACAGCAAGGCGTGGCATGATCTGGTCTTGGGGTCGCAAAGAGTTGGACTCGACTGTGCGACTGAACAACAAAAACATTTTAACATCTTATGACTTGTTGCTACAAAGGGTTAAAACTTATTTTTTGGAGTATGGAAAGCGAACCTCATTCCTGGGTCGCTGAGTTAAGAAAAACGACCCCTACCTTCCCTGTGTAGTCCTTTAGCACTCCTTTGTATACATCTGTGCCATTGGGTCTGTTGATGATTATTCCTGGGGTTGGATTCCTGGAGTTGGGAAAGGACAGAAGTATTAAATACCAATGCCAACCCCACCCCTTTATTTATTTTCAAATTCTAAGCCAATCAACTGCACTGCCATCTTATTTATTTGTTTACGTATTTGATGTATATGCCGCCCTCCCTGTGGACAGGCTCAGGGTGGTTGACAACAATCTCAATACAATACCATTAAAACAACAATTAATTAACAATTAAAACAGTAAAACAATAAAACACCGTGCAAACAAGCTAGTTCTGAAGTCAATTTAGCAATACTGATATTAAGATGCCTGCCACTGATGTCAATTCAGCAGTACTGATGTTAAAATCCAGGCCACTGGAGGGGAGATAGCCAGGAGGGAAAAGGGGCATTCGCTGCCTCAACCAAAGGCCCGGTGGAAGAGCTCTGTCTTGCAGGCCCTGCAGAATTGTAATAGATTCTGCAGGGCCCTGATCTTGTACGGGAGCTCATTCCACCAGGTGGGGGCCAGGGCAGAAAAGGCCCTGGCCCTGGTTGAGGCCAGCTGGACATCCCGGGGGCCGGGGACTGCTAGAAGATGTTGATTCATAGACCTCAGTGTCCTCCAGGGCTCATATGGGGAGAGGCAGTCCTGAAGGTATGCTAGCCCTCGTCTGTATAGGGCTTTAAAGGTAAGCAGCAGCACCTTGAAACAGATCTGGAATTCAATAGGCAGTCAGAGCAGTTCACACGGCACTGGGTGGATGCGAGCCTACACGGGCGTCGTCGTCAACACCTGTGCTGCCGCATTCTGCACTAACTGCAACTTCTGGAGCAGAATCAAGGGCGGCCCCACGTAGAGGGAGTTGCAACAGTCCAGTCTGGAAGGGACCATTGCATGGGTCACTGTAGCTACGTCTCGTGGGGTGAGATGAGGGGCCAACGGCCTGATCTGCTTCAGGTGAAAAAAGGCCAACCTGGCAGTGGCCCGGGCCTCCATAAAAAGGGAGGCATCCAGGAGCACCCCCAGACTCTTCACCCTCCACGCTGGCACCAATGGAGCCCCATCAAAGTTTGGGAGCCCGATTCCCTGACTCAGTCCCCCGTGACTCAGGTACAGGACCTCTGTCTTAGATGGATTTAGATCATGACCTTTAAACTGAGTGGTCACCAGACATCTGGACTTAGCATACATACTCACATACATGCAAAACTAATTAAGAACACACTAAGCCAGAAAGTGAAGTGCCATGCACAGGGCTTTATGCACTTAAAATGCCATTCAGATTTCTATCCTAGCTTCTCCACAGAATTCCAGGAAGGCTATCCCTGTATTCTGAAGTTTCATTCATGCCCTTGATCACACTGTCCTGAAGGTTTCACACTATATACCATCAACTCTGATGGAAAGAAAGATTTTTTTGTTATGCTAAGTCCCTGAAATAAGCTGTGTCCCCAGCCAAGATCCTATTCCCCAGCCAAGACCTCTGCTTGACACATAAACAAAGTTCAGATACATGCAAGAGCAGGATACTGAACCCAGGAGAACTGGAACATATGAATCAATTACACACTTCTTTAAAAATTACACGTCACCCATTCAGGGTATGTGCCGCAGGTTTCAGGGGTACCAATTCTAGTAAGTTCATCAGATGACCGGTAGTTACTCACAGCAAAAACCTGAGTTCTACAATGTAAGGCCAAACATAAGCAATAGCCAGGAACAAAAAAGTATCATGTTTCAGTGGGTTCGTACCTCCAGCGACACCTGATCTGAACATATGAAGCCACCTTAGACCTAGTCAGACCATTCATTGATCCGAGCCAAAGCTCAATGGGAGAGCACTTGTTTTCCATGCCTGAAGGTCCTAAATTCAATCCCCGGCATCTCTAGTGAAAGGGATGGGAGGGATGGGGTAGGAGGTGACACAGAAGACCTCTGCCTGAAACCCCAGAGAGCCACTGGCAGAGTAGACAATACTGATCTTGACAGACCACTGCTCTAGCAGTAGACCTGAGAGTCAGTCACTGGATTTGGCAGGGACTGAATTTGGGACACTATTTACACAGGGCATGATCCACTGCTAAGGTACAGACTCCTCCCTTCCTCCAGTTCTCAGCCCATAGACCTGACCACAGGGAATCTCTCTTTCTGTGAATAACCACAATGGTAAGTAGTGAAGAGTATGCTTTTGAATGACAAAGCCTGCTCTGAAATCTACCAATGAGCCTATTGCAACAGCGAGTCACATTTCCTGGACACAGTGCTCTCCAAAGTACCTCAGCTGTCTTGTGACTTGAGACTTCCTGGACAACGGCAAAGTTAATAAGGGACCATTGGAATTCTGTTTCCCTGCTGAATCCAATACTTACTCGCTATCATAAGCAATGTCGTCATACATCATAACGACAATCTGTTCATCAGGAATCCCATTCCGGTGCACGATCTGATAAGCGTGACATACATCAGCCTGAAAGACACAGGAGTTTTCTTTATTGGTTTACCTTTAAATTTCTTGTATGCAGCACAGGACACTCCTCCCCCCCTTTTAATTCTCCTTAAAATATTTACTTGTTCATTAGCAAATCATCTGGCTGCTTGTATGTGCAGAACCCAGCTTCACACTCAAAGCAATTGTGGAACCCTGACAAGTGTACTGCACACCATCCATCATCTTACAGTAACTGCATGAGGACTGTTTCAGTGGGCAGTCATGTGTTCTGAGTCAGTCAGGAGGGAAAGACTCCTCAGGAGGTAAGGACTCTTCAGGAGAAGAGGAGTCCTGTGTAGCCAGCTCTGAAGCAACAGAAGCAACAGAAGCTGACAAGGAAGAAGATGAACAGTAGGCTTGTCAGAAGGTTCCAACAGAGGGAACCCAGGTGGTCGTTACCAGCTCTCCAGTTTCACCCACACCCTTTGAGCACGGGAGACGAAGGCTTAGAACGGAGAAATTACAATGTGAGATTGCTGAACTTGAATTTATTCACAAATTCAGAAAAATGAACACACCCAGCCCACATCAGGTCCGAATAAAGATACAGGAATCTTATCTCATTACAGAGCCAACCTTCTGTCCCGAAGCATTTCTCTGCTGCTCTAATCAAGCTGATTATAATTTGTATTGTACCTCTGTACCCTGACTCCTTTCTTTGGAGCATCCTCCCACCTTCTGACTGGGACATAAAGACTCAGGTATTGAGAAATTACCCTCATTTATTTAAAAACAGGGGGAACAGGACTTTCATTAGGCCTGTTTGTTTGAACCCAGTCTAATTTGCATGAGAATTGATATCTCATAAACCGGCCACTCTGAGGATTCTGGCCAAGAACAACCCTGAGTGTCCTTATTGTGAAACACCTCAGAAGACAAAGAGGCAGGTTGCTATTAACATTCTGGTGTCGCAATCTCTCTTCGCATGCAGAGCTTACCTAATGCACTCTACACTTCCTCCTCCTCCTCACACCCAGTGATTTTCATCCTCTAACATCTGTTTCTAAGCACACTTGTCTCTTCTTGGCCCAAACTGCTTGCAGTAAATTCACCACCTTTTTGCAGGTCGCTCAAGAATTGCAGCGCAGTCCAATTTTGATCCACTCTGCTTGTCCGCAAAGGGGTAGGAGTGGAAGACCTAAACATCTCATGAGTCAGGCAGCAAAAGTGCTACAAAACAAGATGGTGGTTGTGAAGTATTCCTACAGCACAGAGCCATAGTAACCTTCCACTACAATACAGCATGCCCAACACAGAACCAAAAAAGCCTCCACTGGCAGCCAAAGCAAAATGAATGCGACATTAAGGCCGCAGACATGTCCATACTTTCCCATGAGTAAGACCCGGCAAACATAATACACTTCTGAGCTAGCATGCATAGATTCCACTGTCAGTAAACTTAAATGGTTAGATTAACTGATCCAGAAATGTAAGAGAGGCTCTATATAATTAGGAAGCAATTTTTTAAAAAATGTTTAATACTTTTGTAAGTACTTACAAAAACTTTGGGTGGCAGCTGCCATTTTAGAAGAGGCATTCCCTCTTACCTCTTAGATAGCAGGGAAAGCCTCTTCTACAGATGGCACCCACTGTGTAACATCATCTCAACATGTCATTTTCTTTGGAGCCATGATTTTTATTCGTATACAAATGCATGCAGATTTGAGGCATCAAAATCCATTAAGATGTGTATGATTCTCTAAAGTGTTTTTAATCAGGTCAGGGCCCTTAGATGTTCTGTTCTGTGCCCACACCTACACTGATGCAAGAATGACCCACTAAGAAACATATTTAATTGAAAAGAGGTTTCTAAGTTCACTGTTGGAAGGGCTTACAATTCCTTTTGTTTAATTAAGGAGTCTTACATCCAAGACAACACTCAGTTGGCTGCAGGTAGTCAAAGGTTTCCAGACTGAAAGGAAAGGAACTGGGCATGAGATAATATATTTTAAACCTCAAGTTCTGTGTGAGATCATACATTTTAAACCTCAAGTTTTACTAGACTTTTTAAAGAGAGGGCACCAGGAGTCCACTTTCAATGGGAAGACACCAGCACTTGGTTCCAATGGTGGCTTAAATCACCATAGAAGGAGAAACCCCCCCCCCCCGACACTATTAGCTACCCCATCGCCGACACATACACAACTCTGCCACAACAGGGAGTAGCTCGTCCAGACGGCTTGGCTGTCAGAAAATGCTTCTAGTTAGAGATGACCTCTGAGAATCTGGCTGGATCCAGAAGCACCTGAGATGTCGTCACTCAGGTAATGCAATTATCAACTTGTCAATCAGATACTGAATGACTAGCCCAAGTTCTTATGTGTGATTTACATATGCATGCCCACCACCAATGCACTTCAGCACTACATGCCTGCAAGTAGGCTGCTGCAAAGAACTTTTGCATCAGACGGTGCTTTTCCATGGCTACGTGGGAGAACTGAGCAAATGCTGAACTGCAAAGGTGACCGGCTGATCCGCAAGAGTCACCATTTGTTTTTGGAGGAGTCCATACATTTTGCAACCTCATGTTCTGTATGCCACTTTACATCATAAAGTAGCACTGCTACATTTGCTTTTCTGAGCAGGTAACAGGGCTGCACTGCACAAAATGGTTTTACAAACTCACCTGGATAAATCATTAGGGACTGTTGGTCTACAGCTAGGTATAGTTTATTGTAAGTAGGATCCTATTTATGTAATTTCTGTGTCACATGAATACTCATGCTATGCTTCAGTTTTCTCTGGTAGTACGAGACGTCTAAAAATCCTAATGTATTGGTTATTGAATGCCCCATTTTTCTTTTTTATATGTGCATCTGTGAGTGTGTATGAGTGTGTGTGCACCTGGAAGTTACAGTGAGCTCTGGAGACTGACCCCTGCTGGGGGCCTGGAGGATATTCAGAGAGGTGGCTGAATAAAGCCTGCCCCCGCCTCCTGCCTCTGGTATTCCAAGGAGGTCTCCCATCCAAGTACTTGCCAGAGTCAACCCTGCTTAGATTCCAAGATCTGATGAAACTGGGCTTACCTGGGTTATCCAGGTCAGGGTGAATGCCCCATTTTTCTGATAGCACTGAATCACTATGTTTAATTAATTAATTAATTGGATTTCTAGCCCACAGGGCTCAGGGCGAGTTACAACAATATACACAACTAATTTAAAACAATTAAAACATAACTATGCAGTATTAAAAGCCTACAGAAACATCAGATGATACAACTCAGGATGGCGGTCAGGTGCAAATTAGTATGTCTGTCAGGTTCCACAGCCAAACAACTGAGTACATGCTTATCAGAAAGGTTATACTTTATTGCAGAGCTATAGATGCAGTAACAAAGTCACTGTTAAGAATGGCGTCGCCCGTACAAGCATAATGGGATATAGGGTATTCGTATGCACCCCCCCCCTCCTTAGGCCAATTAGCCACATTCCCATGCGCGGGAGAAGGAGCCCCAGGCCGTTAGAGCCGAAGCTGAGAACCGAAAGTGCTCCCACGGTTCCCTAAATCCGAGACAACACACACCACCTGCAAGGCCATAAATAAGCAAGCGTTACAGAAGCGAAGAAGGAATGCAGCGGTACTTGGTACACAGGGCAAGCAAGCATCCCACCCCCAACCCTTATGGCAGCATAGCTGACAACGTGCTCCCAAAAGTACGATCTGTATGTGTGTCCAAAGATGGGCCCTTATATGTTTATAACTGTCTTCCTAATAAATACATGTCGCTTTGTATATTATAAGTTTCAACTAGGTTTTTAATACTGGCCCTTTATTAGACTCCTTTCTTACCCAAAGATGAAACCCGATACTGGGCAAGTGGGCAAAAAGCCACAAACAGTAAAGGTAAAGGTAAAGGTTCCCTTGCTCGAAAGCCAGTCGAATCCGACTCTAGGGTTGCGGTGCTCATCTCCGTTTCAAAGCCGAAGAGCCAGCGCTGTCCGAAGACGTTTCCGTGGTCACGTGGCCGGCATGACTAAACACCAAGGCGCACGGAGCGCTGTTACCTTCCCACCGAAGTGCTCCCTATTTATCTACTTGCAATTTCTTGCTTTCGAACGGCTAGGTTGGCAGGAGCTGGAACTAGAGATGGGAGCTCACTCCATCATGCGGCACCCGGGTCTCGAACTGCTGAACTACTGACCTTCCACAGCCTGCAGTTCAGCGTCTTAACCACTTGAGCCACCGCAGCTCAATTAGCACAGAATAAAACGGGGCAAAGCAGGGGAAGGGAAGCCGATGTCGTTAGATGTAGGCCTGGCAGAACACCTCTGTTTTATGTGTGATCTGCCTTGAGTCCCTGTGAGGAAGGCGGGCTACTACGTAAACACATAAAACAGAGGAGGGGCATGGACCCAGCACAACAGCTGCCTTCCATTCCCTGAACACAAAGCGCTCTCACCTGGTGCCTGTAGTTATACCACCCATTCGAGCCGGCTACGATGAGAACCCAGTGCTTGCCGCCATCTCCGGGGTCCTCCAGGGGAAGGGTGCTGATGCCCAGGATACAGCCCAGCAGTATGGCCACTCTCAAAGCCATTCTCTCCTTTCTTCGATCAAGGACTTAATCGAGAACTCTGGGAACGCAAATAAAGTTGTGTCAGACAGAAAAATCCAAGCCATTAAAAACTCCCAACGTTTTCCCATACGTTTCAAAAAAAAAAGCAAAATGGAGAAATCACTTAAGTGCATTCGCAGAGTCATTTCTCGTATCTCTCTTGTTCTGAACGTGGCAAAGACAGAGGTGGTTTGTGTCGGGTCCTGGGTGGTCACTGAAAAGCCTATCTATTGAGATCAGTTTTATCCCATGGAGCTCAGGGGAGTTATGCTTTCCACCAGTGTTCCCTCTAAGCTGAGTTAGTGTGAGCCAGCTCACAGTTTTTTTAGCCTCCAGCTCACACATTTTTGTTTTAGCTCAGGAAGGGATGGCTCCAGAGCAAACTAATTTATGCAGTAGCCAAATCGCTCGCTCAGAACTTTAATGCCAGTAGCTCACAAAGTAAAATTTTTGCTCACAAGACTCCACAGCTTAGAGGGAACATTGCTTTCCACTCCCCGTTTTTTTTACAACAGCCCTGCGAGGTGGTTTAGGCTTTGAATCTACATCTCCCCAAGTCCAACACTCACTATTACACACCCCCTTGGCAGTCGACCCTTATGCGTGCTTATTCAGAGTTTGGTAGGGCTTCCTCTCAAGTATGCATGCCTAGGTTTGCAGCTGGCACATCTTAAAACACTCTTGCAGCATTTGGAGAGACTAACATATGGCACACTTTGCATTTCTTTATTTCAGGCTCCATCTCCGTTAGGGCTGGGGTGGCCCCATCTGCCAGACCAGAGATTAATGGGCAGCTGAGACAACACTGCAGCTCTTGAAAGAGAAAAAACAAACTGTACTGTCACTGAGTTTTCTACTTTTGCCGACTCATCCTGCGGAAAACCGGCGAAGGAAGCAAAACTTGCAGCGTTTTCACTGGAGGGGGAGGAAATGAGGACACGAGACTCGGACAGCACTGAAAGTAAACCACCGAGAACCTGTTCTCTTATTTGGTTCAGCCACCCGTGAAAGTGGGTGTACACAATGCTGCTGAACTGGAAAGGTAGTGCAATGAGAACCACTTCTCACAAGCCCTCGCAATCGCAAGCAGATAAAGTGGTTAAGGCCCATGTTCTGGGAGTACCCCGGCATTAGAAGAGTAAAACAAAACAAAAACAAAAAAAACCCCCAAAAAACTGCGGCTACTTCTGTTGAGCTCTAAACAAGTGATCTAGGAGCCAGCATCCTCAGAGTATTGAGTCACTAACTCTGATTCACCAAGCCAGCTGTGTCATTTCGGTGATGTTCAGATTTACCTCCCATTCCATAATTGACTCGTCTGTCTAGAGATTATTGCAAAGGACTCCAAGTCGCCTTCTACACTCATGAGGGGGGCGGGCCAGGCTTGTCGGGGACCCAGCCTTCTTGCCACTGCCGGGGACTGCTCTCAAATAACACCCTCAGGCAGCTCAGCTGTGGAGGGGCAGGTCGGTAGCAGTGGGCAAGCTCTCTTGCAGGAAACCCAGCTGGCGATTACCGGCCTTCTCGCTGACCGACCGCCAGTGTGGTACAGCAGAGGCTGGCCCTCAGAGACCCAGGTTCAAAGCCCCACTCAGCTCATAACCTCCCCTATTCTGAGGCTGCAAATCTCTGAGAATTAGTGTTAGGAAGCAACACCAGGGAAGGCCTTGGCCCCCACACCCTGTCTGTCAGCCCTCCAGGGAAACTGGCTGGCCAAATCCAGCAGGGCTCCTACGAGGCTGATTCAGTGCCCTCTCCGCACCAAGCAGAGTCACAGCCGCCGCCCCCGTCCAGTTTCTCACTGGAGTCTCTGAAAGTTTGTTCTACTAAAGGACTGCAATAATCGAGTCTGTTACTGAAAGTCCAGGAGAGGCTGAAGCGTTCTTCCACCACTGGATTCTGAATAATGACTGGTTTGCCTCTGCTCAGCATCTGTTAAGCATTCTTGTCCAGAGACTGTAGCCACTTGGACTTAAGAAGAAGAAGAAGAAGAGGAGATTGGATTTATACCCCGCCCTTCATTACCCAAAGGTGTCTCAGAGCGGCTTACAAACTCCTTTCCCTTCCCCTCCCCACAACAGACATCCTGTGAGGTGGGTGGGGCTGAGAGAGCTCTTTCGGGGACTGCTCTTTTTCAAGAACAGCTCTTATCAGAACTACGGCTTGCCCAAGGTCATCCAGCAGGTGCAAGTGGAGGCGTGGGGAATCAAACCCGGTTCTCCCAGATTAGAGTCCGCGCACTTAACCACTACACCAAACTGGCTCTCACTGATCAATATCAATTTCTATTAATAACTCCTAATGCAAGAGCCTGGATGGCCCAGGCTAGCCCGATCTTCTCAGACCTGCAAAGCTAAGGAGGCCTTGGCCCTGGTTAGCATTTGGATGGGAGACCACCAAGGAAGCCCTAGAAGCAGGAAATGGCAAAACACCTCCATTTTTCTCTTGCCTTGGAAACCTTATGGGGTTTGCCACAAGTCGGCTGCAACTTGGTTAGAGTTAGAGGCGATAAACCATCCTTGCTAAGACCATTATTTATTTATCTAGCTGGCCATCCAGACAAGGACAGGCCGCACGCCATCAGGGAATCCTCAGCACAGCCCGTTTCAGTGAACAGGAACCGGGCGTAAGAGTAATATTTTGAAGGGTGTCTGCGCAGGAGCACTTCCTGGTGCAATGAGGCTTGTTGCCGGTAAGCAACAAAAGAAGACTCTTTCTGAACAGCGTATTTGCTTTCGTGAAACACTTTAAGGAGGCCTCAACATGACTTCTGAAGGAGCAATTCAACCTGAGGCACCATCGCTTATGTAAACTGGCTGTCTACCAAGAATGCTGGTCTTCTACAAATCACGGAAACACCCAGGCCGTTCCAAAGATATGAACACAGGATCAGACTAACAGTCCATCTTAGGGATGCCAACCTCCAGGTGGGGACTGGGAATTACAGAGATCAGTTCTCCTGGAGAAAACGGATGCTCTGGAGGGTGGGGACTCTATGGTCCTGTACCTCGCTGAGGTCCCTGTCCTCCCCAGGCTCCACCCCCAAATCTCCAGGAGTTTCCCCACCTGAATCTTTCCCAACCTGGGTCCCCATCTCCCAACAATGGCCAGGGAGGACCCAGCATCTCTAGTTCACCCAGTCCTGCAACTTGTTTTCTCAGAGGCCAGCAAGGTGCCCACAAGTATTGCACAGAGGCCAAAATATCCATCTGTAACTGCCCCCCCCCCCCGCAACTGGTATTCAGAGGTACACTATCCCGGACATACAGGTTCTGTTTAACCATCATGACTAATAGCCATTGATGGAACAAAGTTTGAGTCCAGTGGTACCTTTAAGACCAACAAAGTTTAATTCTGGGTATAAGCGTCTGTGTGCATGCACACCTCTTCAGATACATTGAAACAGACTTCGCGATTGATGGACCAATCCTCGATGACTTTCTACACTCACTTTTAAACGCCGTCTAAGTTAACTGCCCTCCCAACATCTTGTGGCAGAGAATTCCGAAACTTAATGAGTTGTTAAGTGAAGGAGTACTTTCTTTTTTCTGTCTGTCCCAAGCCTACTGCCCCATCAACTTCACTAGGTGCTCTAAATTTTAATATTATGGGGCAGGTAGTAAAAGATCTCCTCTCTAACCTTTGCTAGAATGGAAAATCCCCAAAGCTTCAGCTTTTCCTTCTGAAGAAAAAAAGACGCTGCCACCTCTTGATCATTTTAGCAGCCCTTTCCAGCAATAGAGTTTTCCCCCGCCAGATTTCCAAAAACATGGGGGATGCCAAAGTGTGTGTGTAAGAGGCTCAAAGGTAAAAGGTAAAGGTTCCCTTGCTCGAAAGCCAGTCGAGTCCGACTCTAGGGTTGCGGTGCTCATCTCCGTTTCAAAGCCGAAGAGCCAGCGCTGTCTGAAGACGTTTCCATGGTCATGTGGCCGGCATGACTAAACACCAAGGCGCACGGAGCGCTGTTACCTTCCAACCGAAATGGTACCTATTTATCTACTTGCAATTTCTTGCTTTCGAACTGCTAGGTTGGCCGGAGCTGGAACTAGAGATGGGAGCTCAAAGGTTACCCGCAAAATAGATCTGCAATTCAATGATGTGCTGACCCCTGTTGTGAAGATCAAGGTAAATATTTTTTCCCCCTTCTTTCACCCTGCTCTTCCACCAAGGGGCTTTGCACACGATTATACCCCCTCCCACTTTACCCTCACAGCCTCCTTGCACAGCAGGTGGGTCTGAGGCAGCCTGGCTCAGGATCAGCCAGTGCGCTTCCTGGCAGAATCAGGATTTGAACCGGGGTCTCCCAGATCCCAGTTTTAATGCTCTAAAAACTACACCAAACTGTCTCACACCATGCATCTCTATATGACTACAGAAAACAAAGGATGGCCTTTGATTAAGAGTTAAACATTTTCCTGCAATGACGTCACTAACAAGGAAGAGAAAGGGCAATGAAAAATAAACTAGTTCCATCTCAGAAAGCAAAGAAGAAAAAGGAGAAAAGGAAGCTTCTTTTGTGCAGGTTCTGGTGATAACCAGCCACATTACTGGCACCCAGATTTGATCAAAGAAAAGCAGCGGTTAACAAGTCCTTGACAAACTGCAGGGCAAATCACTGCAAGACAGTTGTCCCAAGCTTGAATTTCAGCGTTCACATCAAGCATGCACAGTGTTTTAGCACTCCAGATTTATCACAAACCAGTTTGGGCAATCATGTCTTTTCAAGATACTGCTAAACATAACGTATGCATCTGAAATTTGGATACAAAGGGTTCTATGAACTCTCTGGGCAGATGGTTTGGGCTGTTTTAAAAAAACGAGCTGAAATTAATTTGCTGAATTCTAAAACATCACAACCGGCTTTTCCAAACTCCCCTACGCCGGCTCACCACTGAGAAGAAACCAAGTTTCCATCACAGAACCTCCGTGTTAGGGGTGTACAAACCCCCCCCCCATGGTATTCTATGGGTTCAGGTACTTTGAACCTGAAAAATATCAGTATTTCCTGATATTCCCAAT